ATAGGAACATATAAATGAGTGAATGAGTTTACAACAATTGCCACTTAAGAGGAGAAATTGCTAGTTCCTGCCTATGAGTGGAACAAATGTCGGAGTAACGACTATAAGCGGGACAAATATTGCGTCATTTGTTTCAAGACTGGCCATCTATACTTCTATCGTAAGCTATAAATAACTATAGGTTTAACTGATTTCATTAAACTAAACAAGGGCGCAAGTATTTAAACTAATAGTTTGGCTATTAATTACCGCTGTCTATATATTACACGAGTTATACACATTTAAGTAAAATACTTTTAACGGTTTAAAACATGAAATGTATTACTTAAACTAATTTAATGTATCTACGGATTTTAAGGGTGCCTCGATTCACGGCAAGACGGTATTAAGTAATTTGTATATAGGTTTAACTAATACATTTCGCGTTTTAAACCAGTAATAGTGTTTTATTTAAATAATCCTACAGAAAGCTTTCTAATATATGGGAGTTGTAATCGTTACATTTGTTAGGATATATACGACATCCCGTATTTATTTATGAATTCATTGTAATGCAACGATAATTAAAATAAAATATGTGGGAAAACTGTATATCTAAACTTGGGTAACATATTTATAATGAGCCTATGTTTCTCTTCTGTTCTCTCTCGAACTTTATTTATGTCTTTTAATTTAATAGTAAATCTACCGCCTTTCCCCTTTATATGTGTAAGCTCAAAATAGCTCTATATTCAGAACAAATTTTACCAAATAAATATGTCAAAGTACACAAAGCGATATTGTTGTGATAGTAACTGTAGGATATGATAGGACTGATTTTGACATACCGTCAGATATATAATTGAATCAACATCTCAAAGAAGCATTGTTTACGAGCTTCAAAGTCTATCTTGTTTATCATTAAAACAATAACATGACGTGAATAACATTTTGCTACCAATAAAACAACGAATTCTTTTTTCTCTTTGTGACATTCTCAATTCATAGTTGTTACGTAAGTAGTATACATTTTAATAAATTACTTTAACGGTTTAAAACGCGATATATATCTATACTAATATAAGCTGAAGAGTTTGTTTATTTGTATGTTTGAACGCGCTAATCTTAGGAACTACGGGACGCGGAGGAAGCCGTGGGTTAACACCTTAAACTTATTGAGTTCAACAGGAGATTTGCAAAAACGAAAAATTTACACCCAAAATTACCATTCTACGCTTACGAAGTCGCTAACTTAGCTAGTATTAGTTAAACCGGCCTGCTGCAAAGCTGCTATATATCATTCAAATAAGTTTAACTAATATATATCGCGTTCTAAACCGTTAAAATGTTTTAAACATTCTCAATTTGTTTTCTTTGTTGCTTAGGCGCTATTCGTTTTCAATTTATCGTTCGATGAAGTATTATGCAAATATTAACGGAAAGTATTTAATCATATTCGCTAAACAAATAACTTTGCTGCGAGGCATGTGACGTTATTGTTATTTTGTAGCAAATTGGAAGTGATATTACAATATTTTTTCCTATGTGATATGATTGGAAATAGTTTTGGTTATTAGGTATACTTTTCCTAACCGATGTTAACTGTATCTAAAGTGTTAAAATACTGATTTAACTGTCTGTAGTTTACGCAAGTAATACACATATAAATAAAACATATCCAACACGTCGGGCCGAAGTTAAAAATCATTTTCAAATAAGTTTAACTAATATATATCGTGTTTTAAACCGTTAAAGTATTTTGTATACATGTGTACTCCTCGCGTAACTTCAGACAGTTAAACATTTAAATTAGGTATGTCGAAATATAAAATTAATGTATTTCTTACATTAAAATTGTATTACATTAGTCCTAATAAAACAAAACGAATCGCGCGCGAAGTTTCAGTCTTATCTTTAAACAATGTAATTAATTTGATGTTATTAATTAGATTTTGAAACTCTTGATGTAAAATGTCTGTTGGAATATTTACACGGTAATTACAAAACTTAATATAAAACGCAAAGTGGGTACTAAAAATAGTCTCTTTGATGTAGCACGAGTGTGCTTAGGTTCCAGTTTATTTTTTTTAATATGGTAACTATTTACAGGCAATTTTTCCTCTTGTCATCTCTACGCGTTTCATTTTATAAAGTAAGATCTCCTTCTGGCATGGGACACTCTAATTTCCGCCTCTGCTCCTCTCATTTGATGTAAATAAATAAGTGTACTTTAGAATTTCTTTATATTTAATGATAAAAAAACAAACCATGGTTTTATTTTACATTAATTATAAAGACTAGTAGATATTCCACGGTTATAGCGTATAGGTACTAAAATGTCTAGATTGAATCTCAGAAAACAGATGACGAATATATAGTATAGGAATATAGGAAGTTAAAGTATAAAATAACATTTATTTTGAATTAACATCCTTAATGACAGTTAATTTTTACTGTAGTGTGTGTCTTTGAAATGAAAGAAAGAAAACAGTTACAATTTAAGTCGGTAAATTATTTGCTTAAATAAAATTCAATGAAACGGACACAGGAATATATCTCCTCCAGGCCACAGGAGAATGGTATTGAAAATACATATTATGTAGTGAAAGCCGTCTCATGATCTTGTAATAAAAAATATCTAGCCTGGATTAAAAGTATTCTACGTGAAGCCGTCCCAAGTCGAAAAGTCGTGAATAACCTCGCTCAGACAGGGTTATTTAATCTTTGTTTCATTATACAGTCCTCTGTCTTGCATGTCAACGTCTGGAAAATGAGATCTCTCGTCCAATTGCTAGGATATTTCGTTTCATTATTTTCGAGATTTGATCACTCTACAGTAGTTATGTGACATAAAAGGAGAGTTCTGCGAATTAGTTTGTAGTTAAAACCTTATGAATATATCAAATAATTACAATGCGCGAGAGTTGCATGTATCAATAGGTTAAAACAATTCGACGACGACGTATAGGAAACGGTAGCTTAATTGTTAGAGAGTGTCTCCAAATTTTTTAGTCTGCGGCACCTAACTGATGATTTTTTTTTCCGCGGCACACTAAGCTAAATTACATTATTAAATACGTTGAGTGGGGGAAAAACCACGCCCAGTGCTTTTCTAACCAATTCGCCTCTCCTTGTGCATCTTGTTGTTACGAGTACCTGCGTTCTGGGTTATTTAGTTAAAGTTAAATTATTACTTTTTAGGTAATTTTATAGTTATCTGAAATTGGTTTATAGATTAATCTCAGAATATCTAGTGCAACTTGGAAAATCTTTTGCGGCACACTTAACATTCTCCCGCGGCACACCAGTGTGCCGCGGCATACAGTTTGCGAGACACTGGTTTAGAGCAACAGCACGGAACGCTGTGGATGCCGGTTTCAAGTCCTGCCCGTGCCGTAATTCCTCTTTTCAATGTATAATCGTGAACTTCATAGATAAATATTTTTATTATATGATAGATTTGCAATAATTACAATAACGTTGAGTCAATGTAATTTTTATAAATAAATACTTATTAGTCAGTTAAAAGAGGTATAACAATGCACGGATGATGGAAAATTATTAAAGCGGGTTTTAGATGCACATCTTAAAACTCCACAATACTAAGCTGACATAAATTTCGCATTCGTTTGTTGTATTCTATTTAAGCCATTTTCAACAGGGATTTATGTAAAAATATGCACAACACATACCTACAGTTTTGCAATTTAAATTTCGGATAATTCACATATCTTACTCATTGTGTGTTATAAAACAGTTTAACTATATAAAGTGCTACATATTATACCATTTTAGTTTATAATTCTCAGAAATCTCATGTGAATTAGTAATACTTAATTAAATGTGTAATACTAATTAAATTCAATGTTAAATTTGATTTACATTTGTGTTCATTAAATAAAACATTTTTATGATAGAGGAAGACAGACAAGCAAAGGTGGAGTACCTTTGCTTGTCAGTCGTATCACTTGACGATAGGTAAAATACCCCAACTATATGTATAACATATCATATAGTGGAGTTGGGGGCAACGTCAACCTCTTTTGTATCTGTGGACGTCGGGCCTGGCCAGATTTGCAATATACATCGGGTATCGAATTCACGAGCCATCGATTATTGGGCCCGATTACGATCCTGTCAAATTATGACCCATAAATATATCTCGCGTTTTAGCGGTTCAACAGTATTTTATAGAGTGTGTACGTTCTTTGTTCCCGACTCTACCGTTTTTTCTTTTATTTTCCCAAAATTCGAACGCAATACTTCTTTTGCCTATTGGAATCATTGTCAAATAATAACAAATTCACGGAGGCGTTTTAGGCGAATACCGAATTAAACTGTAATTAATTAATTGTGTATGAATTATAACCTAATATGCTGAGTATGACACCGCAATTAATTTCTGAACGATGATCGCTTTGCTGTTACAACCGTATAAGTGCTATACTGTGTATTAATATTCGTACCTTATCTAAAATCTACATAAGGAGTGAAAAGATATTAGAAATGGATATCCCTATGTTGAAAAATATGTCCTCAATGTTATGGGTTTAATGCGATTTAGCAACGGAAAGGTTATATACATATATTTTATGTGTGTAGGGTTCTTTGTAAAATAGTTATAAGTTTGTCTACAATTTTACTATTACTCCTTGTCCTTATACTCTCGTCTCGGTTTTACAGATAGATTTTGAAAACAAGCATGTATTAAACGAATGTAATTGCAAATATCAACTTGTTTCACCGAGATTGAAACAGAATCTGCGTTTAACGACGTGCTCTACAAAAACCTACAAACAGTTATATAAGAAGTATTGACAAATCGATTAACTTTACAATTTCCTCACTTACATAAAATGATTTATATATCCTAATCCTACATTCCGACATAATTTTTACGACTACCGCCAATGAATTAGTGGCGGTAGTCGAACATTTCGCTCGATCCGGACCTAAACTGCATGCATTCACTAGACTTATTTACACTCAAAAGTATTAACCAAAAAAAAACAATTGCTCACCCATTCCCCAAAAGACGGTCGCAAAGAAGGCCACAAAAATGCGGCCCCCCGTTGACAGAGGAGACTCCATGCCACCTTCGTTATCCGATACGCGTCGAACGTCTCATATAGCACTCACTTCCTTGCCGGCGTTACTTTAATCCCTACTTTTTAAGCACTGTAAATGCGATAGTTCGCCACTCACACACGCACATCCTATTAAGTTAATCCCGTGATTGGGGTACCTGGAAAGGAAAAATCTTTTTAAGCAAATCAGGTTATCTTTAAAGTAATATATACGCCAGGTCGTCTTAAGCCACATTAAACTACGAGTATCTATTCTTCGTTTCAGCGTAACCAACTCTTCTCTCGTTAATCGATCTTCGCGTCTAGAGTTATAAAGTTAAAGTCAAAGTTAAAAGTTATTTATTTTTAGGTAACTAGGTACACTTACAAACGGAAACCAGTTAAAAACTAAAGGCTCTATATTAACATTTAGTATCAGTTCTTAAATCAATCGCGTAGAACGGACGACAAGAACTGGCAGGAAACTCGCCGCCACTCCTTTAATTGCCATGTTTTACTACATAATTTTTCTTGTTAGAGTGGGTTCCTCCAACCCCCAAGCATTTACAAGTATAAGGGTAGATTACAAAACTAGAGACCGATGTCTGCTCAAATATAAATTCAAAAAAATAATTATTATAATAATGTGTGCGCAATCATTGTAAATGTTGAGCATGCTATAAAAAAGCAACTTAATAGGTCTAAAAGCGATTAATCGAAGGATTACTTAATTGTATCTTGAAATTGGGGATTGTGTCATAAACCATTTCCACAAAGTATTTACATGATATATTACATGAATAGTTCAACTCGCTCTTGACCAACCTCACAGATTAAGGCCAATACGATCTAAACGTCCAAGTATCCAATATGGAAAGTTTCAAAGTGCTACAACATATCTTTATTTTATTTTTTCAAGTGCCAACGTAATTTGGAAAAGTCGACTTAACAATTCCAAATATAAGTACCAGATAACAAACTAACAAGCTCAATCAATGGATTGAATAGTGGCAGTTTTGACAAATAATAAACAGTGAAGTCAGCTTATTTATTAACAGTGCAAGGCAAGCTGAAATCGTATGTAAAGCAAAAACTTCTAAAAATGGTTATTATAAGCATAACGTGAATCAATATTTAAGCAGTAACAGAACAGCAGTTAGTCTTTTTGTCAAAGCCTGGTTTTCGTTCAACATGATAAAGGATGTTAAATTGGGGATAAAAGGAGTGGTGGCGAGTTTCTCGCCAGTTCTTCTCTTACAGTCTACGCCCTAAATTTGAAAACTGATCACTAATTCACGGATAGAAAGGCGCTTTTATTGCGTTTGTATAAGTCTGTGTGAGATTTCCGAATATGAGCATCTTAATTATACTGGGGTACTATCCAATAAACGAATATTATCTGTAGTCTGTTCAAAAAAGGCTGTCATATAAGTTCTGTACTTGAAATTTAATTAATTGTTTAGTTATGTATGTTGTAATATCCGTCCGGAGAAGTGGTTAATTTGGACAATATCGCGTTCATATTCAGCACTCAGCAATTGTGAATTTTATATTCTAACCCAACTACCGACGTAGTTACTACGTTTATCGAAATACTTTTATAAGTTGCGGAAGGAAGAGGAATTGTTGGAAAAAATGATATTCCCTTTGTGTAAGTATCTTAAGTATTCCGACAAGAAAAGTTTATGTAGCCGCAATTCAAGTTTTTGCTAAAGTTATCTGAAGTTTTTTCTATCGCTGTTTAAGTCATAAATAATATCACATTCTAAGATCCTAGCCGACCTCCACATTAGGGCTAAGATTTATTCTATTTTTATACATCTTTTCATTTTATATTGCACGTTGGGAACATAACCGTATACCATTACATAGCTTGGTACACCGGAAAAAAAAATTACTAATTCAAAAAAAAGTTGCAATTTTAGATGTATATCATAACCCATTAAAAAAGGAAGTGGACTATTTCAGCATATGGTTGTCTTACATCGCATATTATTGAAGAACTTTTAACGGTTTAAAACGTGAAATATTATTTTATTTAGTTAACTTTTTACTATTTATTTTAAGTTTCCGATGTGGTCCCTCTCCTCGTGTTTGAGTTTTGTTACCAGTGTTTTATTTTAATAATATGAAACGTTTATTATAAATTCACAAATACATACTAATTAACTTCAATTATGACAAAAACTCAACATTTAGAAAGCCGTGGTAAAAGTAAATCAACTATCATATCCCGCATTTCAGACCGTTAATTTTTTATGTAGTATGAACCATTTGCATAAACCCGAGACGATATATATTAGAGTATTATTCATCAAATTAATTAAATTATCTGTAAATCAGTACTTCACTGAATTTTGTGTGGAGTATTTACCATGAACATAAGATGCAAATGCTTTAATTCGAAAGCCATCTTCATGTTTATTTATAAGACGAACCCGACAAGAGCGAATACATAAGTAGTATCGTAAATGTTTTGTTCTATAGCCCTTTGGGTTGCAACAGCCGGACTCCGAAGTTTGTGGGAGACGAGAGAGAAACGGTCCGCAGATGTCGCCCCGATCGCATCTGACCAATCTACGAGGCACGCTTTGTTCTCTGTTTGCATTTTATGGAGCGGCCTTTCTCAGCCCTTATCATATTGACACAGTCAGCCTTAATCCTTCAATTCAACGCCTCCGTTCAGGGTACGTGCGCTTTAGAGTTAATGTACTGGTTTGAATAAAAATTCGTGTCTACAAATTGTTTGAAGAATCTGAATTAGACGCTAAGACTGTTTTTTTATAAAGACAAACGATATTAAATAGAAAAAAGATATTTAAATAAAGCACTTCTAACGGTTTAAAACGTGAATGTATTAGTTAAAATAACTTAAATATGCCAATACATTTCACGTTTTAAACCGTTAAAAGTGTTTTATTGAAATGTGTATTACTCGCGTAAATTACAGACAATATTTAGGAAATAGATAATTTATATATTTTAAAATTGGTGTAACTACCTGTAATGTTGAAGTAACATATAGTACACCACACGTTCTATATTTTTAACACAGAGAACTAATAAAGAATTCCTAAATTACAAACGCTCTTACACAATAACTTTGAATTGCTATAAGATTATTTTTCAGATTTTTTTTAAAGAGACGGCGTACTTTTTTTTAACACTAAGTAGATATTTCTCCGAAGAAATGTTAACTTATTTAAAGATAAATTATTCTAAAGTCATTTCTTAAAATTCCTTTAAATTCAATGGATTAACTACGCACAGTATTATGAGCATTATACGTGCATATATATATAATATTAATTAACTTATCTGTATCTACTCAGTACCGCTGTCCGCAGATCCTTACATCACTAATGTAAAGATGATCCAGCATTTCTGTTACAATAATATTGAAAACCAAAGTCTTTGTATCAAATTATTTAATGGACTAGAATTGCTGTCTCATTATTTTCACACAGTTTTAAGCAAATTACACGAACTTCAACTGTAAGCGAGCTCTTTTCAAGCGATCTCGGGTATTATTTAGCAAAGTATTTTTCATACACCCAATTTATATGATAATTCTTTGTCGGTGTAATTCAAAAGTGAATCTAAAAGATTATAAAGTAAACCGAATTCCACCCTTGAAGCTTTCAACGGCTTTCATTATTATTCAAAAGCTCGCCGAAACCACTAATGTTTCCCTTTTATAAATTAAAATAATACTTAATAATTGACTATATTTCTTAACAATTACAACTTCTGGCTGAAAATACGGTAAGGCTCTGGTCTCCTATAAACGTCCATAATATAGCATCCGACGTTGCGATTACTTGCTATTTTACATGTACGTACGTAACTACGGCCCGAGGTTTTGGATGCTTTGCAGCAGCCGTGGTCAGGGGAAACTCCGGCCCGTAGTTAAAATATTTTTTAAGTAAGCTTAACTAATATATGTATATCGCGTTTAAACCCGTTAAAATATTTTATTAAAATGTGTAGACACTATTTACGCGTTCGAATGCTTTACGTTTTCTCTCTCTCGTCTCTTAGCATTGTAAATAATTGCATTGTCAATATTTTTTTTGATCGGAGTTTTAACAGAGACTTGAATTTGTATAAGACCAGTGCCGGCGCATAGTAAACAACAACACGTGAAGCAGTATTTTTTGTCTTCTTATGAGTATGAGTCGTATTTAGGCAATCTGTAGCCGCTAATAATACGAGTGACTGTCATCAAATATAAGCTTTTAAAATTGATTATTATTTGTGTATAATGCTATAATATTATAAACGGTGTTTTTAGACTGCGGCTTTTATATAAAACCACAGCCTTAGATCGTGAAATTAAAAGGAACAATAGTGGTAGTAGATAATATTACTACACAAACGTGTGAAACAATCGTTTGGGTAAGAAGTGTCAAAGTGGAGATCTCAGGACATTTTGCCGCTATGGTGTAAAGTCGTCGCGCGTAAAAGCACGCTGGCGTATCATATCATTAGAAAATATGGGACACGGTGCGAAGCGCTCAGCGAAATGTGTTCCATTGCTCTTTGTGTTGTCTCCTTTTGTTCGCTGATCTATCTGCTAGCAAGTAATATTTACATTCGCAATACTTACAGACCTAAACAACGACTTTTGTCGACACAACGGCGAGAATAAGAACTGAGCTTAGAACTTTTTTATTATACTTTTTCCTCTTTAAAACGACGCTTTACAAAAGACGATGTAAATATTGTACATTCTTTCGTTTGTCAAATTCTTCTTTCCCCAGCACGAGACGGGCACGTTTCTAGGTCTGTATCTGTTTCTATGTCTATTTCCGTTCCTGTCTGTTTCCGCTCCTATGTCTGTTTCCGTTCCTATGTATGTTTCCGGTCCTATGTCTGTTTCCGGTTCTATGTGTTTTTCCGTTTCTGTCTGTTTTCGTTTCTACGTCTGTTTTCGTTTCTATGTCTGTTTTCGTTTCTATGTCTGTTTTTGTTTCTATGTCTGTTTCCGTTCCTATGTCTTCCGTCCTATTCTGTTCCGGTTCT